CTTTGGTTTGGGTTACTCTTTCTGTGTTTTCTTCCAAAAACAAAAAATTCTCAAATTTTTATACTTTTTCTTTAATTTATAAAATAGAAAATACAGGGTGACACACCGAAAACTTCCCACCCTGAATATATCTTCATTTCAATAAATAATTTGGTACACCTAAATTTAATCTTTTTAACACTCATGACTCCATCCCCTTGGAGTGGTAGATGTTCCTCCTAAAATCTTTAATGGGAAAGGGGGTCAAGTGGCACATCATTTTAAAGGGCATTTAATTCTCTTTATAATAGTACCCTAATTTATTATCTTCTGATCAGCAGATTCCGAAAAATTGCGTTACAGAAGTTAAAATCTGCTGTACTGAGATTCTCCGTTCCCATGTTAATATTTAAATAATAATTATTCTATCGGCTATCTTTTTAGCAGAAATGGTTAGAAGATTAGGTCGCACCAAAAAAATTTCGATGGCAATTAGACTGCATTTACCAAATGGTGGTTTTTTAATTCTCATCGTTGAAATTCCACAGATGGCCTGTCTTTTTAACTATTTATATTTTTTTAAATCTTGAAACAGCGGCTTTTTGTCAAGTAAAATAATTGTTTAGCAAATTTTGACTATTTAGTATTAGTATTGTTAATCCAGTTTTACTTATTGGGCTGTTCAGAGATTACGTTAATTAAGTGACTCAACTGCAAAAATGGTTTACTTTCTATAGGAACAAATCGAAATGATTTTCGTTTATTGAGAGGTTGGAAAATGCATAAGAAGGGCAGCATTATTTTTTACTAAAAGAAATACTAATCGTAATGTAAGTCACAGGTATATTCTGGATTTGGTAGCAAAGTTTTTGAAAACTGATTCGGTGAAAAATAGGAAAATCTTCTTATAAATCACGAGTAGTAGATAATTTAAATTTACAGGAGGACCTGTTACATTTCCAGCAGAATGCTGCTACACCTTATTTTTTTCTTCCCGTCCTACAGTGGTTAAACGAGAGATTCCCAGACAGTTGGATTGGCAGAAGGGAAGCAATCAAACTTTTCACTTTGGGGACACTTTTAATCCGTTGTTTATGAAACACAACCTGCTGATATTGATGATCTTAAAAGGCGAATTACAGCAGCATGCCGGTCAATTCCCAGTGACGTTTTCCGAAATGTTAGAGAGGAGTTCGGAAATAGACTTACAGTACAATGGACAACATTTTGAACAGTTTTTAAAATAGAGTGCAAGTAGATCCTATGTGTTTTATTTTTAAAATTTCTTGTGTAAATTAAAAGTTATTTTTGTAAACGTCACGTAACAAAAAAAAAAAAAATAAAAAATCAAGCGTATAGACCTGATATTCCCCCTGTTATTCAACTCGATAAAATAATTTTTGTTTAAATACTAAACTGGAAACCAAGAATTTCAGTGCAAATAATAAATTAGGGTACCAGTGGAAAGATAATTAAACGCCTTTTAAAATGATGTGCCACTTTCCCATTTAAGATTTTAAGGGTAACATCTACTCCTCCTAGGCGGTTGAGCCACGAGTGTTAAAAGTATTCATTGTAGGTGTCCCCCTTGAAAATAATATTGACGGATTTTTGCGATTTTTCATATTAGGTATTAGTCCGTTCCTACAATGCCACGGATAATCCGATGAACTGTCAGTAAGACGTTCCAACGTATTTTCTGATTCGTACATGCATGAGTCGGCGGATTGTCAAAACGATCAGAGCTTCATCGCTGGTACAATTTATCAGTACATGCACATTTGAACGTCTCTTCTCGTTCGTGATATTTGTTTGTAATTGTTGGGATTTTAAGAGCATGGAGTGACTTGGGTTTCTATTTATTTCAATTGAAATGAATAATTTTTGTTTTAATCTTGTGTACAAGTACAAGTACAAGTCCCTGATTAAACAACGGACGAACAAACGGACTGACATGCACAGTGATTAGTTTACGAATGTATCCATGCACGAGTCAGAGACACATCAGAAAGGAGCTGTTGGAACTAACCTATTATTTACTGGAAGGAATATATTCAGGGTGGGTAGTTTTCGGTGTGTCACCCTGTATATAATTACAGGTTAAATGTTGCCATTATGAAAAAATATATATACATGGTAGGCAACCGGTAAACTATAAGATTTTTTAAAATCTGTTTTCACAGCAAGATGTATATCAAAAAAAGCAACAATTTAAAAATAATTTCAATTATACATGGTTCTCCAAGAAAGTGATACATGTCAAAGTTAGGTATTTATTTTATTTTTAAATTGCCCTTGCTTTTTCCATTAATTACAATACAAAATAGTATGAGATAAAACAGGGTATTTTACACGCTATGACCAGTTTTATAGGAAAATTGTATTGATTTAAATTGACCTGCATCGTGCAAAAGAAATAATAATATTTTTGTGAGGTTAAAAGTTTTCTATATTAGTCAACATTTGTGCTGATGCTCTACTTTTTTCAATTAGAAACAAATCTGTCACAACTCAAACACATCAATTTTAAAATAGTCAACAAAATTGAATAAATCAATTCAAATTTGTTAGATACACATATAGTTGTTTAACAAGGGTCAATCTTGAGGGCTAATAATGTTTATTTTATATCTTTATATAATCAATATGTTCAATATAGCTGTTAAATAATTCTTTTTTTTCTCTTTCAGTTCTTTAAAATAAATGTGCCGAATCGCTATAGTCCGCTAAATATATCGGGTAGGAGAATGCTGGAGTTGTTAGCAAATATATTTTATCGGTTTACTAGTTAGTTATTTCGTAAAACAACTCATGTGTGTTGGGTATCGTTTGATATCTATGTGACAAATAAGAATTTTATTCTTGATTATGTCGTAATAAATATCAACGATATTATGAATATATGTAGTCGTTTCTCTGACAATAAAGACGTGCTATCATCAGAATTTTATGCCTTTTGAAGTTATTTAATTTTTTAAGGTGTAAATTCTGTACTGTTTGAACGGATAAGGCTGCAGAAATACTGCCGGGTGATATATTTAAAACTATTATTAAACTCAAACGAATTTATTTGGATAAACATCATAGTTGGATCTCCCAGAACACCATTAAAGAAATTTTTTCAATATTAATTAAAAAAAAAAAAAATTCGTGAATAAAGTTAGTTTTTCACGTAAAATATGATATTAACTTAAACTTAGATTGGTTAAGAGTAATCCATGGAAACTAATTTCATCATATGTCATAAAGTATATACTTATCTTTTTTAAATTTAAATTATTACAAATTTTTGTAGGATATTTCATTTTTTTACTATGATTATCAAATAAAAACGTTTAAGTTAAATAATATCTTAGATACATCAAATGGCTGTTATTGAAACGGCATGATAGAATGAATATTTGAGGTTAAAATGCAAGTTGGTCGCCGCGTACAGAAGATGTCCGGAATATACCGGGTATCGTGTAAAAATTTAATGGCGAAAAAAGCAGGACCGTAGAAGGAAGACAAGGCGAGAAAAAGGCTTCAATGAATTCTTATAAAGGTGAGTTTTTATTATGGTGTTATATTTGTATTATACTTATTTTAATTGGGACACGATTACAACAAACAAAATAAGTGAACAATTATAAATAAATTTAGATTGCACGAAAAGAAAGTTATGTCACAAATATAAAAGTGAGCATTAGGCGCAAACAGAAAAGTCACAGTGGTGCTATAATATTTTTTTTTTTTTATTATAATATTACTGTTTTAATGTCGAGAAAAGACATTTATTAATTAAAAAAAAATTATTTTATTTTTTAAAATTTTTTTTTTACAACTTTCTATACAATTGTCAATTATGATTTAAAAAAAATTTCTTAATAACTTTTAATTGTTTATAATCGTTTTTTTAATATATCTATTGTTTAAATTATTAGTTAAGAAATATGTTTTTTTTTTAAATCATAATTGACAGTCCTCTACAAAGTGACAGCAAAATTTTTTTTTTATTAATAATTCCATTGTTTATTAAGTTAACAATTTGTTATAAACAAATTACCAACTTTGGTTTATTTTTTTCCTGAAAGAAATACAAATTCCAAAAACCACTTAGTGCATTAAAATTACGGAAAAAATGTTATTCCATTATTAAACTTAAAAATAAAATCAATTTTTATAAACAAATATAAAAAACAACAAATTGACAATAGGTACGGAATTGACAAATGACTTATCTGAGAGATAATTTCATTGCCTACAAAAATGACTTGAATGTTTATTGTCGTATCTCCAATAGTTTAAAAGTTATATCAACTTTTAAGTCAACAAATGGATCAGCTGCTGCAACTTTGATAGTAGGTACGTATATTTTCAAAGTTCAAGTGACGGAAACACTCGAAGTGCGTCCATTTGTTATATCGCAAAATAGTGTTTATATTGTCTCTACTTTATTTTATCTCGATGATTAGACCAATTCATGGAATTTAAAAACTCTTGTTGATCTATAATTATCACTTATCGAAATGCTGGAAAGTTTTGCAACGATGCCAGACATCACTGGCATAATATATTGGTGAAAATAGATTAATATTTTTATTTATTGTAGTATATTTGATATTATTTGGTTGTGGTTCATTTTTAGATAAGTGCTGATTTTTCATTTAATTTATATTATTTTATTTTCTATTTCTTTTCTATGTAAAATTTTATTCGTAGCACAGATGACATTAATTTATTATTCATTATTTTGAAAGGGATTACTATAGAATCCTTTAATTTTTTATTAAAAATAAAATAAATGATAAATGATGAAGTGTTTGTTTACTCTGTACTAAATTTAACATTCTTTGGTCCAGCTTTGAAAGAAATAAAACTTCAAAACGTCCTACGGGTAGGTAATATACCAACCGGTATCCCATTTAAAATTCGTTGATCTCTAGTAGCTAGACAGACATAAAAACGCATACCCATCCTATAAATAGCCTACCTATTAACTCTTAACTTATAGCCATAAACATAAATAAGTTAAAACTTACCACTGATTGAGTATTGCAGTCCTGTCCAGTCATGGTCAAGTCTAATCTGAATAGATCGCTGTTGGCGACGTCCACGTTGCATGTCTCCGACCTACCCAGGGCATAAATCCTGCCGTTGAAAGGCTTATTAGTTCGAACTTGGACGGCGATCTTGGTGTCTTTGCAGTTCACCGATACTGGAAAGTGAAACCGATGATCTGGTTAGAATTTAGAACTACTACTTACGAAGTACAGGGAGGTATTTCGTCATTCATTTAGTAACAAAATAACTTTGTAGTTTGTCACTCAGGGTTAGGCCTGGAGAGAGAAAATAGGTAAAATGTTATTTAAAAACATCGTACTGAAAGGTACGATAATTTTGTTTCATAACTTTCTACCAAGATAAGGGATATAATGAATGTTTGTAAGTTTTCACATGAATCTTCAGTATAATATTGTTCTTAAAAAATAGGTAACTTTTTGAGAAATTCGCCTCTGATAGAATCTTTCCCACTTAGATAAACCGTTATTTTTTTAAACGAATCTGTAAATGTTATAATAAATCTGAATTTAATATATTTTTTATTAAAAAAAAAAAAAAATATATAAACTAATAAGTTTTTCTTAAACAACCATAAATTCCATCAAAAAAAACTTGTTTTGTGAAACAATTGTCGAAAATGAATTTTGTAAAAATCTTTTTTCCAAAAATTTCGTAACTATAAACTGCTAGCTTAATACCTCTTTTACATTAACAGATATTAACAATATTTATCTTGCCGACAAGGATCAGAACTACCGAATTATTATAATTTTTATAGAAACAGGAAATTTTTAGAAATATCCAGAAATTGAAAGGTATTGGAGTGAGTATACCTAATGATTTTACTATTAAAGATCAGAAGGAACAAAAGCTATTGAAGAAATATCTTAAACTAACAAACACCCAAAATCATAATGCCAGAATAACATGTAAGAAGCTTGCAATTGATGGATCGTTGTACATTATTAAAAAAATAGAAGAAAGAATAAAAAATGAAGAGGATAATGACGAATATGAAAATAGCAGAATAGATCAGGCAACTCACAGAGACTTCCAAGCAGGAAGCTCAAGTAACAATTAAAAAAATGCGTAGTACTAAATAATACAGTCCACTGCACTTTCATGCTAAAATAACTCCTTATTAAAACGCATTAATTTAATTAATAGTTTCTGTATCATTCCAGCGTGCCAAATCTTGTCAAGTGCTTAGGCCATGCCAAGGAATATAGCTAAGCATATACCTTTTCCTAATTAAGCTTTTTCGGCTATCCTGTGCTTTCTTGATCTATCGTCAAGGGTTTGTTTCTATTATTGGTTTTAATTGTTTCAATATTGTTTTCTCATACACCTTAGATATTATTGGTAACAATCGTATTAGTCTATATGATGACACTTCATTCATAGGTTTTCTTGGCTTAGGAATTAAAATAACTTTAGCCATTTTCTAAGCATTTGATATATTAAAATGAGAACTTCTTCTGAATAAAGAAGAAGTTGTACTTCGAAACAATTTTCGTGTAATTTTAAATTTTTATTTTTTAAATTAAACAATCAACCATTTGGTATATACTTAGGGTAAAATGCTGCATTTATGAAATATGTCAATTTAACAATAGTCTTCCTAGGTTGTTTCTTTAATATATCTCCACTAATATGGTCATATTCTGTGGCCTTCTGTGAGTTGATGTTTGTCTGAATTTATTTCCTAACTATATTGGAAATAACTAGCCTACTTTCAAGTTGTTCCATATTATGGAATGGTTCGTTGGAAGTGTCTTGCTTTTCTTCTAATTGGAATGTCTTCTGTAGGTGGTAAACGAAAATATCAGCTTTATATTGATAATCTATCGCCTATATGTTATCTGCTATTCTGATAGGAGGACAGTGGATTGACAGGTTTTTCATCATTTTAGTTACATGACTTAAGATTTCTATTCTGTTTTTGGGTAGCCCTATTTAATATATTTTCTCTTTTGATGGCTCTTTTCTGCTACCATTTCTCTTAGATCGAGAGGGTAGTTTTTTCCAGTTGTTAATCATCTTACGTGGGTTTTTCCAAATAGCTTGCTGTATTTTTACTATAAGTTATTCCAGTTCTTCATCTACCTGATTCTTTGTTTTTGGTGTTATGGTTAGTTAAATAGTATTTCTGAATTGGTTTTTTGATTTGCTAGAGTGGGTTTTTGATTCTTTTTGAATAATATTGTCACTTAAAATGAGGATTACTGCAGAATGGTCTGAATCCATGTCAAACAAAATACTAGCGACCGTTTTTGTTCGGCCAATAATGCAACAGGCATTTAATTATATTCAAAGGAAAGATTGTAGATATATAAATTATTATATTATATACCCCTTACTTTTGACTTAAAGTAACAGATCTTGAAAGGAAATAAAACCAGCTGATTTAAAACAGTTGATAAGATTTGTTAAATTAAAATTTATCATATTAACATAAATGCTATTTGACGAAAAACGTTTAATCCATTCCTGTAAACTAATCCAGATCATTTCAGGAAGGTTTTCTATTCAATTTATTGACAATCGCAAACATCGCAAATGCAACGAAATGTTACTGGAAACCTAACTACGTAATGGTTATCGGGCAAACTCTAATGACGTCTGTTTCTATTTTTTGTTTGCCGCCAATGTCTTCTGCAAGTACGTACCAGTGGCGTCGAATAGATTACTAAAGAAGTTACCCTTATCAGTTTGATTAACCATTAGATGCAACAGTTTAAAATTGAAAAAATAACGGAAATATGATTTTTGTTCGAGTGAACCTGTTAAAATGCGCCTGTATTAGCCTCTTATAAAATGATAGTCGGTTGATTACAAGACTTATTTACAAGTTATAACGAGTACGAGTATTTAAGTATCAAATGACATGCAAATAAAAGTTTTTTGAAGACTTTGCTAATATACACACTGGTATAAAATGATCAGAATATATTTTTTTTGAGTATTATTACTAGTCATTATTGACTATCCTACAATTTTAATCTAAAAACTTACTTATCTAAAAACTTCTCATTAGGCTATGTCTTAATTATTTCTATAGGAAGGCATCACAAGTTGGCGTTTTACACTAGTATTAACAATAACGTTCACGGCATTAGCTCATGTTTCGCAACAAACTCTTTATTTTTTCTTTAACTATTGGCATCTTCAGGTCTCTATGAATATAATCGTTTCGATATAACCAAGGTACATCAACGATGCATCTTAAGACTTTATTTTGGAAAATTTGTATCATCTTGATATTACTCTTTCTGGCACATCCTCATAACTGTAAGCCATAAATCCAGACTGGTTTTAGGATTTGTTTATAAATCAGCAGTTTGTTATACATTGACAACTTGGATTTTATTTCAAGGAGCCAATTTATTTTGCAAGTTCAAGTTCTTTACAGTTTTTTCTGTGCTCTTTCAGTTTAAGTCGTACATCTAGGTTCATCCCTAGGTATGCCGAATTGTGATGCAGAATAACATCATTGTTAATTTTTATTTGTTTTGGCTCATTTTGTCAAAGAGTAAAATCAACATGCACTGATATAGTTTGATTTACTTTTAGTGTCTACGTTTTCTATCCATCGACTTATTATGTTGCAGGTTTCCTGGAGTTTTTTGGAGGTATCTGTATTAGTTCGGTAAACTGCCAATATTGCAGAGTTATCCGCAAATGTTGTCGTACATTGTTGCTGAGGGATATTGTTGACGTGTAAAAAGTAAAAGACCGGCGATAGTACACTGCCCTGTGGGACACCTGTTTAAATTTCTTTCATTTCGGACTATGCCTCCTTGTTTCACTCTAAACATTCTTCTGGTTAGATTAATAAGAATATGTAAAATAGGAAGCTATTATATCACCTAAATTTTTGTGAGATTAAGTAGTAGCATAATAATTGATAAGCGAATTTGCTTAGATTATAGTAGTATCCATAAAAATGAATTTTATCTAAGGAAGTACAAATAAGGTTGCCTTTAAGAATAGGCTAAGCACGTCATCAATAGCGCCCCACCCACTGTCGTTGGATTGATTAAAGGTGCAATTTGCAAGCAGCGATTGTGGCGATAATCGCTGAGCGATAATCGCGTTGAATAATCGTTTACAACTGCGATCATATTTCCCCTATGATCACGCGAGGAGATAAACTCACTAGCGTCTATTGTTATTATCGCTCATAGGAAAACGGAAGTATGTAAAGATCGCGTAGCAGTAGTCCGCTATGATCGTTGTGCGATTATCGCTCAGCGATCATCGCCACAATCGCTGCTTGCAGAACGCACCTTAATAGATCACTACCGTTTCTATTATTTTACTAACGGCAAAACAAATTCATGAGCGTGCATTTGTTTATTATTTTTATTTATAATTTTTGCATTATGTACTTTATTATACAATATATTATATACATTTTGTATACGTCACTGTTTTTCTGTAGTTTCCAGTCAAAAGGTTGATGACATGGCTTGCCTGTTCTTAACGCAAACCAGTGGCGTGCGGTGACATTTTTAAAAGGGAAAGCGATTGTATAAAAATACAGCAGGCCAGTAAGCACATCGCCGCAGATGAAAATTTTTCGCGGCGCATTCACCATTTTGTCAAAATCTTGCTTTTTTCCTCAGTACTACGGATATTCGAGATTGAGATTTTTGAAGTATTACTATTACTTTATTACCTAGTTTGATACTAGAAGCTATAAAAAAAATTACCATCGAAAAGCTTCCTTGGTTTAATTAAACGTAAAAAAATCATTTAACTGAAGTTTTTTTTTATTTTTGCAGCATTTTTCGTACAGTTGATACATCAGTTGACATTTATTTATACTTAAGATCTATTCTCCTATCCTCAATGTCTACAAATTTGTCTATAACATCGTCGTAAAATTTTGGATTTTCTGATAACTGTTTAACAAGCTGTTTTTCAATCGATATTAGAACTAAATTAGAGAGTCAGTCTTCACTTGTTTAATTTCGTATAAAACTTATAATGCGCTTTAAAGCATAAAAACTTTGCTCAACTGACGCACTTGTGGCTGGAATGGTTAGTACTAAATTCACACAACTTTACGACTTCTCAAAGGGACTTATTTAAACCAGTTGGGCATCTTTTTATCACTAATTTCAGTTGTTTCATAAACAACACTTAACT